TGGACCCTGGGCATGTACCTTGTGTCAGCTAATTGCAGCCTCGGCACACACATGAACAGTGTCTAGGTTTTCTTTCTGGCTGATTTTCCTAAGCTCAGCCGCAGTGGTGAGCAGAAATGCATCATTGTCATGTCCTTAAATCATGCCAGGCTCAGTGCCCCCTTTAAAACTTGCTCAGTTGAGAGTCCAATTCCCAAGCCATTGGGAAGATAAATAGATCAACCCAGGTATTATCCAGTTGGAGAAATTCTGTCAAATGAAAGCAAAATCAGCTGGGATGAAATGAAAGCATAAACCTCTCGCACAAACTGACAAAGTCCACGATGCTGCCGGGGACAGATGCTAAAGATGCCTGGAGGCACTAACGGGGAGGGAGGTATCCCAAACAGGAGCCACAGAGTCGAGGAGACCGGCTGAGACATACACGGCAGGCAGCAGGAAAATACACACATGGTAATCCGGAAGGAGGCGCCCCCCCCTCCCCAAAAGAGGGTTCCCTCAGGCTCCAGAAAATTTCCATTATCCAGAAGTTTCTTGGAGCCCCCTTTCCCATACGGAGCTTTCCCAGAGCTCCTTGTCACTTGCAATCTGCTGATTAGGGTTAATGTATTGTGTCCTGATATGGCAGATTAAAAATGAAATCAATAAATGCCTAAAACAAATGGGCTTTTGAGATGTCCCATTCAATCTGGATCTTTCAGGGTGAGCTGAGAGGTGGGAGAAGGAAATCTGGAAAGAAGGGAGTGGAAGAAGACCACTTAAGCGATCAATTTCCATCCAGAACGCTGTGCAGAGATGTGATTTCAAGGTGTCTGTCCCTCCTTTCTCAGGAGTCCGGCTTAATTAACAAGAGCAGCCTCAGCAGGGTGTGTTGAGAGCCCCTCTGGGTTATGTGTGTGTGTGTGTTTATTTTTTCTGTTCATCTGTTAAAATCATACGGTTTAGGTAAGTGAAGGGGTCTACAGCGTGCTTGATTTAAAGGTTCAAGATATGAACTTCTCCTTCTGAAGTATGCTTGAACAAAGTAAGAGTGCCAGCTGCCAACTCTGCCCAGTCCTCATTCTACTGAATCCAGTGCCACCTGCCAGTAAATAAAAGGTAAATGTCTCCCTGAGCTGCCCGCCCCGCTCACCCTGCTGACGGGGTGGGGATGGCTGAGCACCCCCTTCGCCCAGTCTCTGCCATCTCCAGACGGAACAGCTCACACAGGCCATGCCCACCCCATGGCGGCATCAGTGCTCCCTGCTGCAGCTCCCTGCTGGCTGTACCCCATGTAAATAACCTGTGCTATTAAGGTGCAAATTGCAACTTTTAAGTAATGATTGCTAATAGTCTCATGTTTACTGCCACAGAAGGACATTCATGAAAACAAAATCTGCATTATTCATCTCCATATTAAATAAACAAAATAAATGCAAGAAGCTGTTCTCCCTGCGAGACTTTCTCCAGTTCTGGATCATCAGCCCACTATGAGGCAGCTCTTGGTGGGCAGGAATAGAACCCTGTGACGCGAACATGTGATACAGTCACATGTATGTCACCCCAGCAGCTCTGAATTCCCTTACGTTGGCTGGCATGATATAAAAACGATAGTTCAGGATGCTAAAGGCAAATACGTATTACGTGTGTGTGAGTAGCGAGGTGCCACGGTGGGAGGAAAGTAAGCCGACAATTTTACATTTTTAACTACTCCGCATCCTGCAAAGTACAAACAAATCAAAACACTGCACTCTTTGATTTTCCCTTTCTGCCGTCTTTTCTTCCCTAAAGGGTTAGGGAGAAAGATGATGCCACAGAATCCTGCAATATTTTCAGGGACCAGGGGGTGCGTTTTAGTGGGGGGGGGTGACATGGACATCAAGGAGGCGAGGCGAGAGCATACTCACACGTGGACAGCCCCATTTAGAAAGCGGGGGCTGCTTTCTAAACTTTTCTCTTGCCTGAAGTAATAGTATGGTAGAGCAGCATAGCTTCAGAAAGCAGGAAGAATGACATTTGGGAGGGAAACGTTCTGACTTGGCTGTTTCCTTACAGAGAACTGCTTACCCCACCCCCCTTCCTTTCAAGGGGGGAGGAATATGACAAATAAAAGTTGCAGTGCTCCGTCACTTATGCTATGGTCTTGTCATTCTATCTGGATACCTGCTTTATTAGAAGGTTCTGTAATGGATTCCTTGAAACCTGGAACTTAAAACTAATAATGCAAAGGAATCAAATTGCCTCCAATAGTTCTTGGGAAAGACTCTCAGCTCTGATTCACTCACGGGCCTTTTCTATCTTACATTATTCATTAATCAAGCTCGAAATCAAGCTTTCAACATCAATCCATGGGAGTAATTACTTACAGTTGTGCAATGCTTAATTTTGAGCAGTGATAAAAGTTAGACGCGGATGTGATGGTCTCCATCCCACCTTCTTGCCCTTCATATAAACTGTGGAGTCACAAAGTGGCTAACTTCACTTGTAAATAACCATCTCAGCACACAGAGCCCGGCTCTGTGACCTCAGAGCAAAGAAGCATGGCCTGCGAAGATATCTGCTGGAATAATATCTGAGCAAAAACTGTGAGAGGGGCCTCATGTGCACGGGATGAATCATCCCTTTTCACTTTGAGAAGGATTTTTCACTTCTTCCAGTGAAAATAAGAGAAGTCATGAAAACAAACACATAAAGACACTAGGAATGTCACAGGCTAGAAAACTGAAAGTACAGCCCAACTTTCTCACACACACACACACACACACACACACACTACAGTAAATAAACAAGCCAGCTCCCATCAAGCCCCGCTAAGGCAAAGGATCTAATTTAAATAATGTGATACAGCATGATAGTACGTACACCTGGAGCCTCGTCGATCGGAGGGTAATTATAATCAAAGTAGAGTGATTCTGAGCAATGCACTTTTTGTAATGAGCTTACTATGGGAGACATGTCCAGTCATCCTGGTAATTTAAATTACTGCTAGTTGTTGATGGCCTTTACCGGAACAACAAGGGGGAAAAAAAAGAATAATTTTCAGGGTAGTATCACTTCTCGCTGGACTCCTGCCCAGGGAGCTCTTTTGGGACAACGATAAGAACGTTATCTGTAATAATCTAGCTACACTTAAACTCTGCTGCCAGAACTAGAGGGAGCAGAGCTTACTTTTCCTGAGTCTGGAAGGCCAGTGCTCACCCCAACACTGTCAGATTGCAAGGCAAGCTAAGTTTCAAAAAAAAAAAAAAAATAGTTAAATGTAGAAAGGGGTAGGGCAGGCAGGAGGAACTGTCTTCTAGAGGTACCTCTCGAGATGAAAAAGAGCACCTCCAGCCGAGGCAAGGTCTAAATAGACATGGGCCTAAATAGATTTTAATTATTTTCCTCCTAGGGAAACAATTGGAAAACACGCACATCAAAGCTTGTAAGTGGTATTTCCGCATGCAACTCGAACCAGTCTATACTTGGGGACCAGGCGTTGCTGTGTTCTGGGGGAAGAAACTGTGGCTGTTTCAAAGCACATGTACTGCGCACCGGCTGGAACCAGGCCACGGCGAAGGGTGAGCTTAGTGATCCAGGGTTCAGACACAAATACCCATGTTGCCAGCTTGGTAACTAACTTCAGATTTGTTCTAAGGGTGGCTTTGCAAAGTTTAGGAAAGTATTCCACTGAACTTCTCCCTCATGTTCCTGAAGGAACAGAAGGGAGCAGCGTGGTAAGTCTTCAGAAGACCAGCTTTAACTGGTCCAGATCCTGAAAGCCACAGGGAGAAGACAGAGAGAGGGAAAAGGGGAAAAAAACACACAACTTAAGCTTCTCGCTAAAGCCCTGATTCAACCAAAGGACACAAAGAAATAAAAAACGCCCACATTAAGAGGCAAACAAGATAATAATTGTACATGTCTGACTCTGAATCTGGAGGGCACGCTTGCGTCACTGGCACTCTGAGTTACCATGGTGAGTGATTTATTGATATATATCAAGAATGAATAGATCAAAGGCAGTGAGATGACAGGTGATCAATCAAATGTCAAATCAAAACTAGCAATCAAGTGGAAAGCTGATTTTTCAGTGGGTGGGTCTGGCAGGAGAAAAATGAACTTTCATATTACACTTCCGAGAAACAAAACCCCAGCATACTATTAAAAAAGCAATTAAGCAACCCAAAAGGAAAAAAAAAATCCCCTAGAAGGTCTATTGTACTGATCCATTAACCTGTTCCTCTCTCTCTCTTTTTTTTTTTT